CCCCCCCCCCCCCCCCCCTGGGTCTAGCTCCTGTAGTGATAACTAGGAATAATAGCTAGGCAACGAGGACTGCGACGGTGACGAGAATGGCAAAAAAGCGATAGGTTAACACTATGTTCACACTACACCTACCGGATAGCTTTTCCTGCCGACACGAATACCTATATCAGTTATAGTATGAACACCGATCCGATATGTGACTCTCCACTTTAGCGATTGGCCCGGAGCAGCTTCGCTCCGTTACAGAAACCACACCGAGATCCCCATTCTTTTGTGTGAACAGAAGCCCTATTTGGTATGATTTCCGCGCCGGCGCAAAAGCTATACGGTAAAGTGTGACCATAGCCTTAATTAGATTAACCTGTGCCAGGCTCTTAGATCAGATAGTATAGTGCGGATGTATTAAAAATAAGACGCGCGCCCTGTCTCTCCCCAGTCCCCGCGCGTTTTTCGCATTTCTTTTTTACTGAACGACTTTTCACCACTATCTCGGAGCCTGGAACAAGCTATAATTAGATTGGCAAAATAACAGCTTTGCACGTATAGCGCACTTTTTTTGCCAATTCTTTAACGTCGTTGTATGACTCCGACGTGAAATGTCCTAATCTCACGTTTTATGGAATACCTTTAGTCTTTTTTGTTTTAGAATTCTTCTCCAGAAATATTCGCTAACCTTTAGCAATCCAAACGACATGGAACAGGAGCAAATACGTGGGAATGCCGTTATTTTAAGTAACGTTTTCGCCGTCGTCGCCGTGACCTTTGATTAAAGTTCCTAATCTAATGTATCTAATGTGCTATTTAAGCTGTAAAACAGCCAAACCTTTTCTCAAGAGCACTTCGCGTGAGGGCGAGTTGAGAAAGCCGTATCTGAATAGAAGCCATTAGTGTTTAATACCGTTAATAGCTCATTTATTTTATAAGTACAATGCAGTGGCTTTCTTATTCAGAAGAAATAAAATGCGTCAAAGGTTCAACCATACTAACCATGCAGCCTTTATTAGCAGTTTGAAATGCCAGCCGTTAATCCTCGCCCTAACCCACAGGGGTGGAGCGACGGGAGGGTAGCGGCAGCGGTCAAGGGAGAGGGACTCAATTTCTCCCCCGCGCGGGTTAGGGGGAGGAGATGGTCAACATCTCAGACTTTCGTTATTTGCAGTGGTGTCCTGTACGTGTCGTACAGGGAGGCATGTGCACCGTGGACGCAACTCTTAGTGCATTATATTTTCACACCCCGCCTTTAAGGTACGATTTATAGTTGGCTCCTGTTAGGAATTTTCCCGAAAGGATATGATGCTTGCGCAGATGTGAATTGGCATGTCGTGTGCTGCCTGTAGGCATTCAAGTTAGCCTGCGTGGCAGGCGTTTGAAAGGGAAGGGAAAGGGAGTTTTAGGTGCGAGAGAAACGCGAGAGGCGCGCGAGGAGGGAGGGAGGGAAACCTTTCCCCCTCGCGCGCCCCTCGCGTTTCCTCCGCGCCCAAAACCCCCTTTCCCAAACGCCTGCCACGCAGGCTACATTCAAGTCTGAATGTTGTTCTAGTGTTATTTTTCATTCAAAACAAGCTCTGCCGAAAAGATCAGAGCAAACGGCCGGCTCCTTTTTTATCTGCTCTGGAGATCTCCCATTCCAACCATCAGCAAGGTTTTGCACGCGGTGACATTAAAATAAACGGTGACTTCTATTTTTGCTATTCTACTTGTTACTTTTCTTGACGGAGATGACCTCATGCAACTTGACAGGAATCCGAACATCACAGACGAGGTTATTTTTGGTTGATTATACCGCCTTAACAACCCTTGCCTCTAATCAGAAGCCTTGCTATGTTTTAGTATCTAGTTAGAAACGTGAGTAAGTACGTGCCTTACGAGCGTGTTCGCAGGGTTAATTAGCACTGCTACCTAATGATCTCTAACCGTTAACTCTTCACTCAGACCGATCGTTCGCAGCAATGAGAGCTACAATGGCTATTAGTTACTGGATTCCTGAAAGGTTTCTATTGTCACACCGACAAGGCTCAGTGTAAACTGGTTTTGAACTAACCTTGAGATCACCCAAGACATAATTTGGGTTGGATTTTAATGCTCATCAGATTACCGTATCGCTGGATTTGTGTTTTAATATTCCTCATTGCCACCTGTTCATGCCATATTAGTTTGGGTTTCTGGTTCTTCTCTTGTCCCCATGGCAACGGTCAAGGACGAGCGGGTGATGTGTGTTCAGCTTTTTGTCGTTGCCACCCAATGAACACGTGTGAGGCTGGAGTTCAAAGATGCGCGCGACCTGGGGAGTATGGAGAACGTTGCCATGCTACAAAGCCGTGCGGAAGTGGTCTCACTTGTCAACCGGGCGTCCAAAAATGCTTCCACCTGCCTCGTCGTCATGGTGAGCCTTGTGTGGCTGGTTATGAGTGTGGAGCTGGCCTGTCATGTGAGCCAGGAGTTCAGGTCAGTTGGTTTTGATTTTGGAAAATTCTAGCGTTTTAACTGAGAAGCAAGAAGTTCAAGGGATAATCAGTAATCGTTAGTACAAAACCAACGATAACTTTTACACGTTATATCCCAATCATACCATCTTGCTCGGACAATACTTGCTTCTGCAGGATAAGCCTTTAATGATAATATCGCGGGGAAATGCACCTCTGTATAAAGAACTACATATGAACCCTTTTTCTTCATAAGTGCCCTTATGAAGAAGGGATTGTGGTACTCGCCTAAGTCACAACAGACGGGAAAGTGAAGATGACGATTACAAAGAACCTTACAAACTTAGAGATATTCATACTGTTCTTAATGAATGTTCCTTGGCTCGAGAGACACTCGTTTGGGTGGAAGAGCGGCTGATATAAATCCAGTCTAGAGTGTCTCTGTCAGCGGGTGAATTTGAATAGAATCTAGTGAAAGACAACCTTTGTGTGGTCAGATCGGTCTTTGATGGTCACCCACGCAGCTGTCGACATTTATCTGGTCACGTTTCGCCCCTTTCGGTAGCCGTCCGGCTCATTTTGTCGTTTGGGAAGGAGCGTTTGCGTGACGAGACAAATATTTAACGGCTGCCTCAAAGACCAAGTATGAATTTGAAGACCTTTTTTGTTTCCGGGTATGCTTTAAGCTGATGTTGATGATTATTATTTTACATAGGTAGCATTAAAACCAGGTGCGAAAATAGCATAATTAAGGATTTCTTTGATGTGACTTTTTCAGCGCTGCTATCACCACCCTCGACTTTATAACGAGCCGTGCTCAGCTGGCTTTTCTTGTTCTTCAGGCCTCAGTTGCCAGCCGGGATATCAACGCTGTCTTCATCATCCGCGGCGGGAAAATGAACGCTGCTCGGCGGGGTACTCATGCGCAGATGGGCTAGTATGCAGGCTGTGTGACAAGCCTTTTGCCACCTGTCAGCTTGGGCGTGTACCCGCTCTAACAGAGCAGGTACTTATTTACCAAAAGTTATCATAATGAACCACTGAGACTGCACAATTGCTTTTTTATTTGCAACTCGATCCGTTTTGAAACGTCGAAACCCCCAATTTCGGACCAGAGAAATGTTTCTGTTTTTGTTCGTGGAGAAGTTTACTGCAATCCAAAGAAGTCTCTGTGAAGTCTATGGAAAAATTAATGCTAACCTTTAAATGCAGAGGTCCGGGGCATACAACGGGTAACTATAGCAAAAACTCACTACCTTATTCTTTCCGGATCTCTAATGCGGAAATGCTTAACTTGCTCTTGAACTAAACGTCACTTGGAAATATGGTAATATTGAAAAGAGCTTCCACTTGTGAGAAGCCCTAATTGAAATCCCTCTTCTTTTCGCCAAGCAAAATTACCAACCTTGTTCCCAGGTTTCTCTCCTCTGACTCGTCCCTTACGAGTATGAGTGTGACTTGAGCCCTGGAAAAATTACTAGTTTCCCATAATTTGTTCTTCCCTGCTTTCTTGTACTTTTTTTCCTCGCGGTTTAGACAGCATATTTGCAAAGTGTTTCTTCAAGTGTAGAAAGGTGATTTATTTATTGTAACTGTTCAGATTCTGCCTGCGCGCAATGCTGGTATTCTCGTAGCCCCCCCAGGGCATTACAGACAATCGTGTGGAAGTCTCGGGGGAGTCCTTTAGCTATTTAAGCCAATGATCTATCCCGTGATTTCAGTCTCTTTTGCCAGATAACGCCCTTCGTAGCCGGGGTACAATTTTTGACTCTCCCACCTTCCCTTAGGAGACGCGTATCCCCCTATCCGTTCTCTGTCTTACGATTCTCTGCCTTTGCAAAATCTCGTTTTCCACAACTTAGTTTCGCGAAGGTAGTAAGTGGTTGTTCTGACATTGAAAATGGCTTACAATTTTCTTTTTAAAGGACTATGGACGCCCCTTCAACAAAGTGGCATTTCTTGTTACCCATAATTCTTTTTCAAACTCTGTGAGTTTTGCTGTATGGGTCCGCAATCAACTGTTCAGCATCAGACAGCAGCACGAAGATGGTGTGCGCGGTCTTATGCTAGACATATATCCAGGTAGGGAGTCTTCTTTCCGTTTATTAATTTTTTAATTCCATCGATATTTGTACATTCTGATTGAGCCGAACATAGTCCAAAGACTACTGCTACAAAAGCTGAAACAAAGAGTATTTTAACAGTTTCAAACAGTATTTCGGCTGGCCAGACCAGCTTTCTTCAGGTTTACAGGTGTTACTGAGGTTTTTTCTAAAAGCATTAATTGTTACATTACATAGATGGAGAATGTCATCAAACAAATTGTATTAGAGGGAGAGTGGAAAATGACGTACACCAAATTACAAAGGGTTTACAAGATTACATTATCACGTCAGTTTAGGCCATAGGTTTTAGGTCTTTTAGGCATTAATTGCTCCAGCTTTCTAGTCGTCTTTGGACTCGATTCTTTATTTTAATCTGCATTTTTTCCTTGATCAGCTTCGGAAAGACAATGAGATTACAGCGATGACAGTGCTTGTAGATCTAAAAACCGAATTGACCAATGGTAGAACGGAAAACTGGGCACAGGAGATCGCGTTCAGTATAGTACTTTGTGTGCCCTTTCGAAGTGAATAAATTATGCAAATATACACAAGGTCTTTGAATGTCTTTTGTTACTTCTTCTTCTTTTGTTCCAGGGTGGGGAGAGGCAGATGTTCGTCTCTGTCACGCGTCTTGTTTCTGGGGTGGTTCGACAAACTTATTAGATACCCTGATTGAAATCAGAAAATTCTTGGAATCAAACGAACGCGAAGTCATCACAATCGTCTTCGAAGACTACCTGAGAAATCCTGTAATTCTGAAACGGGTATTCGATCAAGCAGGCTTATCTTCCCATGTACTGCGCAAGGAGAACTGGGGTGACGGCTTCAGTGATTGGCCAACGTTAACAGACATGCGCAGATTAGGTCGATTGGTAGTGTTCAACAACAATGGCCTCAACGGTTTTCCATACACGGAGTTCAACATGTGGTATTACGTAAGAGAGAATCGATATGGTAACGCTGGCCTCAACAAAAAGGTGCTCCACTAATTCTTTTACCTTTCCATTGTGTTAAAGAAAATAAATAGAGTCAAAGCCCGCTTAAAGGACACACGCTTAACACGGACACTTTATACGGACAGTTTGCTCTGCCCCTGGGGTAAGAAAACCCTTAATCTCGCTTAATACGGACACCCTGATAATACGGATACTTTCTAGGGCCCCTTCAATGTCCGTATCAAAGGAGTTTGATTGTACTAAGTTGTTCATTAGGTTCTTATCTATTGTAGAATCTTTCGCGAATAGTAGCTTGGAAAAATAACTGCCATTGTGGGCTCTCAAGAACGAGTAGCAAGGGAGGGGTTAGCCGAAGTGAGCGTCTAACAAAGCGAGCCTTTAATAAATAATCTTAAATCATCTACAAACGTCTTGGGACAAAATTGATCTTGTTTCTCTTTTTTAAGGAGTGTATTGACCGGCCGGAATCTCGCTGGAACAAGGCCTGGAATGATCACTGGAGTCTGATTCTTATAAACTGGTTCAGTACAGCGGCTAATTCCCTTCAGCCATGCCTAAATTCATTTGCAGAGATAAGGAACAAGTTGACTACTTGTTACGGCAAGTTTGGCTCTTGGGCCAATTTTGTAGCTGTGGATTTCTACACCGCAGGCTCAGGGGGAGGAGCATTTCAAGCTGTCAAATGGCTCAACAAAAAATTCAGAGGTAAGTTAGGGAGACTAGTAAGATCCCTGCAATAAAAGAATGGAGACTTCTACTTGCAGGCTAGCCTTCGGCAGGCTTATTTTAACGCTAAAAGTAATATTATAACGGGTGTGTCAAATATAATCAAACTGACGAAGGACAATCGTTATTTCTAATGAGGCGCAGTTTGAAGTTGTTGTGTGGTTCAATTTTATTGTTAGTTTTAAATTTTCTGAATTTGGTTAAAACTCACCATCACCAGTCATCGTCGTCAGCGTATTATAAAGGGGGGGGGGGGGGTGGTTGCAATTATCATATTCGAGGTCTCATGACAAGTGCTGAAAATAGCGTTTCGGAGTCTTCAAATTTGAAACTTTTTTCGGGGGGATACCCCCCAACCCCGCCCCCGCCCCCCACGCCTTACCCTACGCGCAGCCCCGCGTGTCCGCGCCCACCCCCCACATCATACAACACGCACACCACTGCAACTGAAGATTTCTAAAAAAAAAAACCGCCGAGGCCCCCACTAAAAGTGCGCCCCTTCTGGCACTGCCGTAAATCCCCCCCCCCCCCCCCCCGTTACAAAAAACCTAGCTACGGCCGTGACTGAACTCCTCCTAGCTAACTCCGCCCAGCTAACAAACTCGGAACCAATCAAACCAACTGAAAGTGGAAAAAAAGGTCTTGATTGTTATTGCCTATATCATGTACGTCTCAGTTTTTGATGGTTATCATAGCCTGTTCCAGGCTCCAAGAAAGTAATGCATGCACAGAGGCTGTAAAAACGGATGTGAAGAACATTATCATGAGCGTCTCTATTTTTCCCTATGACCTAGCTAGTTTTCGCTACTTCCCCACTGAGCTAGGCTATGGATATCAAGGAGGGAATTAATAAAAAAAGGTAACTGGTAGTATCCCCTTTTTTAGAAGACGGAGCATTTGCAGACAGGAAAAAAGAATCTTCTTTGCCGTTTTCTTCTCCTGATACTGTCAGTCATTCAGCAACAAATAAATCCAGTCAGATGGAAACCGGAGCTAAGAACCCAGCTGACGAACCTGGATACGGAAGTGGATTCCATGATCTTTCTGACATTATTGCCCACGTATTACAGCACAAAAATCGTTGGTTGACAAAGAAAAGCAACGTCAGCAAAGGTTTAACTGGTATTATTTCTGCGGATGGGTCCTATTTGAACTCCTCAAGGGTTTCTAATGCGGCGTCAAGTCAATCTGATGAAAAGAAGGGTTGGACAACTCGAAACAATAGTCCGGGGAATAAAGACAAGATCTTCCCAGCAAACTTAGTCACATCAACTTATAGTAATATACAGTCCTCTGAAAATTTTGGAAGTAAACACACTGCTTCAGTGATCGACAACGAGAGAAGAAACTGGAATTCAACGCCTCGCTCCAATCATACTAATCATAAACAGAATACACAGGATTTCTTGAGTAAGGTTTATCCATACCTTAAAAATCACCAATCGAATCACGCTGTTTCAGGGATCACAGACAAAACAGGAAACGTACCAAGGGTACGATCTCGAAATCTCACTAGTCAAGGGGAAGTTTTTCATGTAGGTCCAGAAGGAAAAGTAGCCCGATTAGCTAATTTTACAGGAAGACATTCTCGGTTCCCCCCGAGCGCTCTCCGATCGAAGAAGAATATGGCCGTAAAGCTACGTAATCTTCGGCGACAATTGGCTCGGCTGAAATTAAAATTAAACAAGTACATTCATTCGGCTCACATTGGGACAAAGAAGAAAGTTAAACATAACACTTAAAATATATCGGGAAAAGTGAGTAAAGCTCTTAATTTTTCTAGCTTATAGGGAAAAATTTCTGCGTAAGAGCTCATAAGGACTGAACCGATCTTACTAGTCTACGTTCATCTGTCTCTTATACTCTGAAATGCCCGGCCGATCGCGGGGAGCCGAGGGGGGGGGGGGGGTGGGGGTTGGCGGGGGGGGGGGGGGGCCTTTCCCTCTCCCCCCAACCCCCTTTCTTTTTTTCCCCCCCCCCTCCCCTTTCCGAGTCCCTCTCCGGGCCGGGTTTCTCTTCCCCCCACTGTTTCCTCGTGT